GATTGATGTACTCTTCAAAACTACCTTTCAAAATTGAAGGAGAAAGAAGATACTTCCATGACAAAGAATAACTGAAGAAATTTATGACCACTAAACTAGCTATATAGTATGCTCTGAAGAACATATTAGAAAGATATAACAAAGACCATAAACACATGAATGCCAATAGACCAAAGCCGCCAACCATTGTGAAAACTAAACAGAGGAAAAAGATGAAACAACAGGAAAGCAACCCGAAAAAGAAAAGCCACTACATATCAATTACAACCATAAATGTAAATGGTCTCAACTCACCAATCAAGAGAAACAGATCTGCAGAATGGATCAAGAAGCATGATCCAACAGTATGCTGAATTCAAGAAACACATTTAACCTCCCCCTGCAAAAAAATTCATAGACTAAAAATCAAAGGATGGAGACTAATTCTTCACACCACAGGAATACAGAAAAAAGAAGAGATAGCTATTCTACTTGCAGACTATGCAAACTTTAAGCCAAAAGTTATCAAAAGAGATAAAGTCACCATACTTGTCAAGGGGAAACTACAGGAAGGAGAGATAACAATAATAAATAGGCACCCAACTACATAAAACAAATAATAACAGATATGAAAAAACAAATAAGCACTAACACAACTGTAGTGGGGGACCTTAATACCCCACTTTCACAAATAGATACATCAATTAGACAAAGAAATCAACAAAGAAATATTAGAATTAAACCAAGCCTATGAACAAGTGGACTTGGTAGATGTCTACAAAATATTTTACTCCAAAACATCAGAATACACATTATTCTCAGCTGCACATAGGAATTTTCCAAAATAGACCATATAGTAGCTGACAACACATGTTTAGGTGAATGTAGAGGAGCTGAAATCATCCCACGCATACTATCTGACCACACAGCAATGAAACTGAAAATCAGTGACAAGGAAATCACAAAAACTACATAAATATGTGGAAATTAAACAATACTCTTCTGAACAACCAATGGATCACTGAGGAAATTAAAGATGAAATTAAATAATATATAATAAATAAATAAATATATATATATTATATATATATTTATATATAATGTATAATATATAAATAATATATAAATAATATATAATATATAATATATAAATAATATATAAATAATATATAATATATAATATATAAATAATATATAAATAATATATAATAAATAAATAAATATATATAATAAATAAAATAAATGATAATGTCAATATAATACACCAAAACTAATGTGATGCAATGAAAGCAATCCTATGAGGGAAATTTATAGTGATGAACTCACACAGCAGAAAAGCAGAATGAGATCAAATAAATGAACCTCAAACATCTAGAAAAAACCAAAAAGAACAAATCAATCCAAAGCTTGTATGAGGAGAAAATCATAAAGAGCAGAAATTAATGCAATAGAGACCAAGACAATAATATAAAGAATCAATGAATCAAAAGTTGGTTCTTTGATAGAATAAATAAAATTGGTAAACCATTAGCCAACCTCAGCAAAAAGAGGTAAGAAAAAAATCTAGAATCTATATTCTAATAAGATGGAAAACACAGAATAATTGGATGGATTCCTAGACACAATCAAATTGCCATAACTAAACCTGGAAGATATAAAAATTCTAAATAACCCAATAACCAATGAAATTGAAAATGTAATAAAAAATTTAGCAACAAATAAAAGTCTAGGCCCCGGGGGATTTATTGTTGAATTCTACAAGAAATTTAGAAAAAAAATAATGCTACTAATGTTGAAACTCTTTAAAGAAATTGAAAGGGAAACAGTACTTTCAAAACAATTCCTGGAAGCAAATATTACCCTGATTCAAAATCATGGAAGAACACAATCAGAAAACTATAGGCCAATTTCCCCAATGAACACACATGGCAAACAGAATGCAACAAATCATTAAGAAGATTATACAACATGGCCAAATAGGATTCATTCCAGGGATGCATGGATGCTTCAACATATGCAGATCAGTAAATGTAATACAGCATATTAATAGAACCAGAGACAAAAATCACACAGTCATCTCAATAGATACAGAAAAAGCATTTGACAAAGTCCAACACCAACACCCATTTGTTGAAAAAACCCTACAGAAAGAAGCTCTTCACCTCAATCTTATTAAAGGCATTTATGACAAACCAATGGCTAACATCTTATTACATGGTCAAAAACTGAAAGCTGTAAAATCAAGAACAATACAAGGATGTCCATTATCACCACTCCTATTCAGTACAGTTCTGGAAACATTAGCCAGGGCAATTAGACAAGAAAAAGAACAAAAGGAATAAAGATAGAAGAGAAGAAGGTAAATCATCATTATTTGCAGATGACACGATACTCTACATAGAAGACTTCAGAAACTCCAACAAAAACTTGTAGATTTAATATCCAAATTCAGTAGTGTAGTGGGATATAAAGTCAACACTCAAAAATCAATAACATTCATGTACACAAGCAACAAACTCAGAGAAATTAGGGAGAGCACATCCTTCACAATAGCATCCAAAAAATGAAATACTTCGGAATGAGTGTAACAAATGATGTAAAAGATCTATATATTGAAACTATAGTACTTGTAAAAAATGAAATTGGATGAGGAAAACAGAAAGTGGAATGATATCCCTTGATCTTAGGAAGAATCAACATAGTGAAAATGAACATACTCCCAAAACTGCTATACATATTTAATGCATTTACAATCAAAATACCACTAACATACATCACAGATCTAGAGAAATCATTCCTAAAATTCATTTGGAACCAAAAGAGACCTAGAATAGCAAAGGCAATTATGGGCAACAAAGGCAAGACAGGAGGCATCACAATACCAAATCTGAAATTATATTACTAAGCTGCTATGATAAAATCAGCATGGTACTGGCAAAAAACAGGCCTGAAGATCATAAGAATAGAATTTAAAAATTGAATAGAAGGTTCAGATGCAACCACAAACATACTCAGCCATCTTATCTTTGACAAAGGAGCCAAACATGTTCAGTGGAGGAAAGATAGTCTCTTTAGTAAATGGTGCTAGAAAAACTGGCTTTCCATATGCCAAAGACTAAAACTAGACCTATGTCTATCATCATGCACTGAAGTAAAAATGGATCAAAGATCTAAACATTAAAATAGAAACACTAAACTTACTAGAAGCAAAAATAGGCAGAAATCTCAAAGATATGGGTGTAAGCAGAGACTTCATAAACAAAACTTAGACTGTAAGGGAAATATTATAAAGAACAATTGGGATCTCACCTTATTAAAAAGCATTTGCACAGCAAAAGAAATCAACAGAATGAAAAGACAGTTCACAGCATGGGAAAAAATTATAGCCAGTTGTTCCTCTGACAAAGGACATATTTAGAACATAAAAGAACTGAAAAAAATAATCAGACCTCCCAAATTCCAAGACCCAATCCAAAAATGTGCACTGGAGATGAACACCCAGTTCTCAGATGAAGAAATACAAATGTTACATAAATAAATACATGAAAAAATGTTCAACATCATTGATCATTCAAGAAATGCAAAAAAACAACACTGAGAGTCCATCTCATCCCAGAAAGAATGGCTATCAAGAAATCAACCAATAGCAAATGTTGGTGGGGCTTTGGGGAGAAAGGAACCCCTGTTCACTTGGTGTGAGTGTAGACAGGTACAACCACTGTAGAAATCAGTGTGGAGATTCCTTTACAAAACTAGGATTAGAGGTCTCATTAGACCCAGCTATCCCATTTCTGGGTATTTTCCCAGAAGAATTAAAAAACTTCATACTGCAGCAATATATGTGCACCCGTGTTTATAGAAACACCATTTATAGTAGCTAAATATTAGAAATAACCCAAACCATCAACCGAGGAATGGGTAAAAAAGGACGCGGTACTTTTATACAATGGAGTACTACTCAGCCATAAAAAGATACACTCAAGGCTTTTACTGGTAAATGGATGCAACTTGAGACCACACTCATAAGTGAAATAAATCAGACTCACATGTGTGAACACTGTATTGTCTCCCTAGTGGAAGAAACCAAAAGAGTAAATAAGATCCAAAAATGTACAATAGATACTGTGAAAGCAGAATAAACTACTCAAAAGGGAAGAACAATTGGGATGGGAGAAAAGAAAAAGGAGGAAGAGAAAAGAAAAAAAATAGGTGTGTGTGTGTGTGTGTGTGTGTGTGTGTGTGTGTGTGTACACAAGATAGCTAAGATAGTTGTACTACTAATTTCAGTTCATTGAAAAGAACAGTTTGTGCCTACATTTTGGAATCTCAGCAACTACTTTGGAGATAATACACAATATATTAATCATTGTTAATCTATCATCTTGTTCCCAAATTCTGTGTCATTGTTTTTATGGTATTTTTTTCTCTTAAAAAAAAGTAGGACTAGAGGTCCTATTCAACTACTACAAAGACAATGCACAATGTACTAATTATTGTAACTGTCCCACTAACCTGTTTTGAAGCTGTTTCATTATTACTTTTATCTTTTGTCTCTTTAAAATTAAAAAAAGAGATGGGGGGTGTGGTTTTAAGAGATGTTAGACACCTTAACTGATAGAGCTTGGGGTGGTTGATAAACGCCATTGTGTGAGCGGGAGGTGGAGGAGGAGCCGCAGGTTTATGGTTTATGTGACTGCTACCCAGGCAGAGCCACCTCTGTTCATATCACACATGCACACACACACACACTCTAGCTCTGCGTCTTTCCTTCTCTCCACCTCCTGTTTCCTAGCTGAAAGTGAAAAACAAGAAGATCTGGGCAAGTCTCCCCGTGGTCTCCTGCGGTTCCACAGCGCGCTGCCCGGGGAGTCCACTGAGCAGGACTGGACCTGGCAGCTTCTTCCAGGAAGCGCACGAGGGAACCAGTGTCCACGCACACCGGCCATTGTGACCTGAGCTCTGACCACTGTCCTGCACCCTTCCCTTTTCTCATCCCACACCCACCTCTGCAGTTACATGAATTCTGCTTCTGTCTCCCAACGTGTATATGATTCATCCATGTTGTTACACACAGCCACGCTGTCTACTGCATGGCTATGTCACAGTTTTAGTCTATTTTATAGTGACAGATACTGGCTTGTTTCCCATCTGAACTCCTATGAACAGAATTCCGGGAAGATGCTTGTGTGCACAGCCTGACCACAATGCGTGAGTTTCCGCAGCACCCTTATCTGGGAGTGGAGCCGCTGGCTCACAGTCATCTCCAGTGTTTTTCGATATTATTTGATGTGACATGAATACTTCTCTTGTTCACATCTTCACCAATTTGTTGCTGTCTCACACTTTTGTTTTAAACCTCTGTTGCCAAAACAGTCTCCTACTGAAATGGACTCCCCCTATAGGGGTCAGTGGGGCTAAGCCTCAGGTCCCCTGGTGGGCTGTAACAGCAAGCATTCATTCACAGGTGAGCAGGCCCTTAAGGAGTTCATGAATAATTCTCGAGTGAGAAGGCCAAAACTTTACACTAATTCGAATGATTTAAAGAAAGTAAACTCTATTAGGGTTGTGATGCTTTATTATTTAAAAACAAAACATATTTCCTTTATATCCTGATTCCCTGGTTTTAAACCACTCTTCTTGTTGGTGAGATTCTGTTTTAGCAGCCTTGAGCTTACATGTACTGACCAGCTCAAAGCCATGGACCCCAATATGTTTCTCCACTAAATCTGGCCACCTGCAAATAGCCATCGATGGGAGAATAGACGTATGGACCCAAGCTCTATCCCTCAGCCGGTAATAGTCATGGACATGTTCTTTCTGGTGTCCCCACAGGGTTTAACCAGCTCACCAGGACTAGGCAAAGATCCCTGCCCGTCACCACGGCCTCTGCATCCTTCTGGCCGACAAGGAAGATGTTTCCCTTCAAGGTGAGCAAATGGATGGGGCTTGCTTGCCTCCGGTCAGTGGTAGTCTCACCCAATATTAGACAAAAGAAACTCATTTGCAAGTTGCAAGAGGAAAAGACTTTTCGGGAAGAGATGAAGATTTTCCATGAGAAAATAAAACACTTCAGGGAAGAGATACAGACTTTCCGAGGCAAGATTCGTGCTTTCCGGGGCAGGATGCTGGATTCCAGGGAAGAGGAGAAACCTTTCTGGGAAGAGGAGAAAATTTTCTGGAAAGAGGAGAAGGCTTTTTGGGAAATGGAAAAATCTTTCCGGGAAGAAGAAAAGGCATTTTGGAAAAAGTACCGAATTTTCTGGAAGCAGGATAAGGCTTTCTGGAAAGAGGACAGTGTCTTATGGAAAAGAGACCAAAAGGTTCTTCAGGAGGACAAGGCCCTGTGGGAAGAAGAAAAGGCCCTGTGGGTGGAGGAAAGAGCCCTCCTTAAGGAAGAGAAGGCCCTGTGGGAGGATAAAAGGTCCCTCTGGGAGGAAGAGAATGCCCTCTGGGAGGAAGAGAAAGCATTCTGGGTGGAAGGTGGTCACACCGGTATAGCGCAGATGCCCCAAGAGAGGCCTCAAACACCAGCTATTCTCCGGGGCTCAGCTTAGTGACCACAGGACATGCAGAGCCGTGCGATCCAGACTCTACTGGATTGGTATCCAAGTCCATGGTGATCCCTGTATGAGAGAACATTCACACGTATTTGTCTCCTTGCTTTGAAAGATCTAATAAATCCTGAGGAGGAGTTGGAAAAACTAGCTTTTAGAGGAAGGCTGGTTGTACTCTTTTTAGGTTCTGTGATTCTCCAAGGTCATATGCCCAGCTATAGATGTTGGTTCCAAGCTGTTTGAAATGTCCCTGGGTAGCAATAGCGTCGTCACTCTTTCTAAAAGAGGAAAAAATAGGGAAAAGAGGTTCAGACAATGCCAGCTAGAAACTGTAGGGGCACAGAAGGGCAGAGACACTCCTGCCTCTGTCACATTGTAGGGAGATCACTTCTCCCTCACTCTGCACAGTCTTGGAGGCCTGGCACAGGCTTGACAGCTCTCCAGAAAAGGCCACCGTGCTGTTAGCAATGCATATGTGATTCTTCCTCACCTGGCAGGCTAATTTGAACATTCAGGTAGAATCCCTTAGAGATCCACTCACTGGCAGTTCTGAGTTCCCCCCAAATTTCTCAAACATCCATCATGAGAAAGAGCCTTTGATGTTGACCTGAGGTCCAAGAAAACCCCTCAAAGGCACTGATCTCTGATGACACAGACAAGGGGGACCCAGGGTGGTCTAGGAGGTACTGGAGGTCCTCTTGCGCCCATCCCCTATGGTCACACTCATCGGGTTTCACCGTGCCTGCATTTCTTTGTTATAAGTTCATTGCCATGGTGTTTTTTTCCTTTGGTCTTTGTTTTCATTTATTTATAATTAAAATGCCCCAGGGAGATAATTCATTCAATGAATGTATACCACTGTGATCAAGTAATTTATGTCCACAACTTTTCTTCTGAAGAGAGATTAGATAATGTGCATAGGGTTGATATGGAAATGATCAGAAGTGGAGGGGTAAGAAATGGCAAGGCAGACATCTGCTGTGTCTTCTCTTAGTCCTGTCTTCATGGATACCAAAGGCTTCCCCATTACTGGATAAGCACTTCCATGCCCTGCAACTCATGTGACCTTCCCATGATGCTTTGGGCGAACAGGAAAGGCACATATACCCATGGCACGGATGAGGAAACAGAGACCTAGAGAAGAAAAATGATTACATGTAGCCAGGCAAGCAGCTAATGGAAGGACTAGGATTGGAAGCTATATTTTCTGTCTCTGGGTCCCATTCCTTCTCTAATACAGCCCAAGTTCATGGCAGATGACCTTAAAGTAACTCTGCTGATAATGACCACAACACTGCATGAGCCTTAAGTGCTTTGGATTTCACTTTAGTTTGGAGCAGTGGTGGAGAGATGGAGAAGACAAGGAACTTAACCAAATCCCAGATATAGAGACAGATACAGATATAGATATAGATGGAGATACATAGGTACAGACGATATAGATATAAATACAAAAACATTCTTGGTATCAGATAAGTGGGCTAACTCTGTGGTCTTTGGGCAATTCTAGGTTCTGGGTTTTTTTGGCTTTTTTGTTGGGGTTTTAAACCTTCTGGCAAGAGATTGGAAGAATCATCTCCAGGAAATCTGACCATCCCAGGAGAACAAGCTGTAAGTCTGGGGATTCAGTCACTTACACAGAGCTCACACCAGCACCTTTTCATTGCCTGTGCCCCTTAAACATGACAAACATCGAGACCGACAAGGAACATTAGAAAAACATGAATTATGATGTTACTTAAAACTCAGAGTTACTGTAACTTGGTGGAAAGAGAAAATACGAGAAAGAAAGAAGAAAACTTTAACAATGCTCACAAAGCAAAAAAATGTTATTGGTCATAAGACACAGCAGGAATGAAAGTTCAAGAGGGTTGGAGGACAAAATTGAATTCTCTGAGGAAGATGAGAAAAAACAAAGACGGGGGAAAGTATTAGAGAGAGAGAGAGAGAGAGAGAGAGAGAGAGAGAGAGAGAGAGAGGAGCTGAGAGTGTGGCTCAGTGGTAGAGCATTTGCTAGCAGGTGTGGGTTCAATCCCAGCACCACAAAAAGAGACACAGACCTACTTTCAACTAATGACATCCAAAGAGAAACAAAAAGAAAAGAATATAAGGAAGAAATATCAAAAGAAACAATTCAAGACTAGGGCTTAGAGCACAATTTAAAGACTTGAAAGAGGCCAAGAGTATCTGTAAGAGTGGATGAAGATAGATCAATTAGGATGTGTCACTATGGGATTTGAGATCCCTGATGGTAATCAGAAAATCCTACATTAAAGGGGGAGGCAGTTAGATGGATGAGAGGGGGCACTAAGAAAGTTTTAAAGAGAAAAATTCACATACAATGTCAAGTGCCAGGTATAGCGATCACACCTGTAAACTCAGGAAGCTGAAGCAGGAAGGTTGCTACGAGTTCAAGGCCAACCTGGGCTATGAAGTGAGCTCAAGGCCAGCCTGAACTACATAGTGAAACCCTGTCTCAAAAAAAAAAAAGTCTAGAAACCAAAATAGCTTCAGGTTTCTCAACACCCCACAACATGGGAGAACAAGGAAACAAGGATGTCAATAATTCTGAGAGAAGTTATTTCCAGCTACAAGCTCTACCCTCAGCCAGACTATGCTGCAAGAGCAAAGGTGGAGTAAAGCCATTCTCATTGTTCAGGACCTCAGTTTACCAGAAATGGGTTTTTTTTCTTGAGAAGCCCCACCAAAACAAGCCAGTTGAAAAGACAGGGGCCACTATGGCATCCGAGTAATTTAAGTGCTATGGTTCAGATCTGAAACGTCCCTGAACATCATCTCAGGTCAGAGGTGGGGCTTGTGAAAGGTGAATGGATCCCGGGACACTGTGCTCATCAGAACACTGGTGAACTCCTGGCTGAATGTGAGTTAGGAGGTGGGGCCTGATTGGAGGTGAGACGCCAAGGACACGTCCTAGAAGGACACATTCTTCTCCTTGGCTGCTCCTTTCCTCTCTCTGTTTTCTGGCTGTCATGCCATGAACAGCTTTCCAATTTCACCTCACGGCTTCTGCCTTGGAGACAGCTGTCCATGGACTGACCCCACTGGAAACATATGCCAAAATAAACCCCTCCTTCTTTAAGCTGCGGGTGTCAGGTATTTTTATCTCAATTGACAAGAAACCGGACTAATACACCAGGGGTTAGGGAGACAAATCCTCAGAATACATCTGTGGTTCAGAAGAGGAGGCGTAAGGGATAAACATATGAGAATAACAATATTGTGTACATCAGTTCCTCATGATAAATGGAAACACTGTGTACTGGGAAAATACACTGATAAAATTTTAAAAACAACTTCATGGCATCAGATTGGCCACTGAAGTGGTGTACACCTATAATCCCAGCTATTCAGGAGACTGAAGAGGATGACAAGTCCAGGCCAGACGAGGCAGCGTAGCAAGACCTTGTCTCAAAAATAAACAAGGCCAGGGAGACTGCTTGGTGGTACAACCCCTGGATTCAACCCCCAATATCATAAAATAAAACCAAATAATGAAATTGTTTTAATAGCTAACGTAATTGAATACCTAGGGGAAAGAAACACTGGTGGGTTTGAATAGTGGTAAAGAAAATTCAGCAACCTGAGGAAACACAGCTGTACATTAATGAAAAACAAAGACTTGTGTGGGGAAGAAAAATAGCTGAGATACTATGCTACAAACACGTCCGTGACTAGCATTTCAATAGTTATATGAACATGAACACTGAATAGTGATGTAACCGAAATTACACTATTGGAGACGGGAGGGGAATGGGAAGCCTGCTTGCCTTTTCTGGTGGAAATCAGTCTATAATTCTCAACACTGAAAATTCAAAAAACAGTATAAGCATATTATTTAAAGCACCTTCTCAAACTTTGGCATCCATCTGGATCTTCCAGAGGGCTTTCTAAATTGCCATGTGGTCTGCTTCACCCCCTCTGTTCCAGCCACGTGGAAAGTCTGTCCCTCCCCTGAACATGTTGTTCTCCTCTGTGACACTGGATTTTTGCCCATATCTCTCCTGTACTCAGGACGCTGTCTGTCCCTCTGCCATCACTATTGTGAGTGCACTCTCCCTTTCAAGGGCCTGGCTGCATACTGGTAACTCTGGGGAGTGTCCCCTGGCCCCACTGTCCATTGAGGATTCTTCTGAGGTCCTCCTGAACCCGTAAGTCCCCTACTTGTGCTGGTCATCTTAGGCAGTTCTATTCCATTTATTTCCTGAATTCTCTGTAGCACTGTAAAGTTCAAGAGGGCAGAGATGATTCTCAAAAGGCTTTGCTGCCCAGAAGAATGCCCTTTATGTTAGAGGACTTCCCTCTCTCGAAAGCAGAAGTCAGAAATATATTTCCCAGCCTCCTTTGCAGCTGGAGGTTGAACACATGGCCCAGACTCCACTAATAACATGCATCAATGACAGACCTCAGTGAAGAAAAGGATGTCCTATGGAAGTCATCACTGTGGGTGGCAGAAAATGGAGCTTTTAGAGGAAGCAGGGGGCAGAGGTCTCCCTGCCCAGGACAGTGATGTGGGCTGCAGAGCCTATGTGCCCAGCTACAGGGGTAGTAAGTGCTCTTCTGGAACAATCCAGCACTGGATTCTGTACAATGTTCCTGACTGTACAGCCACCTTCCCTAACTGTCTGGCTATTAAGAAATTCTATGAGTTTCTTTGTACCATTCATTAAATACCTTATCTATTAAGCTAGCTAGTGCATGTTCATTTTTCTTTGTAAAAGTTTTTTTTAACTAAGAAGCAGGAAAAGAAAATATAATTGTCTTGCTGTGGATTTAATCCTCAGTGCCTTGTAGATCTTGGGTATAGAATAGATTTTAAATACATGTTTACTGATGTGGGCGAATACAGGAATGAATGAATGAATGTTTGAGGGGAAAACTGTTCTCCTGAAATCAGTGACTCTGACTTCCCTGAGGGAGGGAGTGTGGGGCCACCGTAGCACTTCCATTCCAGTTCTTCCCCAAGGTGGAGATGTATCTAGGTCTTCACTCAGGCCAGGCAACCCCACACCCAAAGATAAGTGAATGTGAGATGCCCCCTCGATGCATGAAGGATACTACTCGGGGTTGGGCGATAATCCTGTGAGTGTCTTT